TGGTTTTGTTATGCTGATATCAATATATCTCACCTGCAGAATGAATCAAATCAACAGTTACTGAAAATATTCATTTACTTTCTATGTTTGTAAATTTTCATAATGCATATGTATCTACTGATCTGTAGTCCTAACATGTAAATACTATCATCCCAATATTTGACAGATCAACTGAATCCTTTTTTTGTTTATGTATCTGTAAAACTTGACTTAATGTTCATGTTTTCTGAGTATTTGTCAGAACATTTTGAAATATTTTTCAAATTTTCTATGAAACAGTAGTCATTAAAATCTGTGCAGTAAAAATTGCACTCCAAGTGTCTTGGAGGCCAGTAGTCACCTTCTGTGGGTTCCAATTAAATATCACATATTGAATGGTTTATACATGTAAATAAACACAGAATGTGCTATAAAATCACAATAGCATATATATATATATACACACACACAGAATATTGAAGGGATAATTATTTTAATTTAACATGTCTGCACAACTATAAATGTGAAGTCTAAGCATTGCTTTATGTTGGTACGAACCAGAATTTTTAAATTACTCTAGTAAATTAAAATTGACTATCTGTCAGCAATATATGTTCTGCTACTGGAGACTTTAAAATATCTGTATTTTTGATGTTTGTGTTCAGCCAATTTGTCACAAGGTTTGGTTTACGTATAGGTATAGTGCAAAAAAATTTTAATGGGTAGCCCATAAACTACTCACACTGTTACTTAATTCTTATTTATCCTCCTGTGTGTGTGTTATCAGTATAAAATGTATGTAGTTTGAATGACACTCATATGTTCATTTTATTTAAAATCATTTGTAATGGCTCAGAAATGCCTTTAATATATGAAATAGCTTTGTTTCTTTTTAAAATTCCAATTCAATATTGTTTTCAAACGTTTCTCAGTTGGATGATAGTAACTTTGCTCGGTTTAATAATGTTTTACACATGGAACATTTATTTTCAGAAGGATAAATAGGGAAGAAGTATAAAAAAATTATCTGAGCCAGTAGGCTTAAGATAGACCTGAGTGGATAACAACCTATTTTGTTCTTTTGTGACTAAAACATCTAGGAAATGTAATTATCTGATATTTTCCAATTCAGTGGTACATTGTGTATTGGGGTTTTGGAGCATTAATGTTTTTGAATACAGTTCTCTGCCATGAAGATTAGCACATCATTGACTTCTCATTTCCAGATCTTGAAGTTCTGTATGAAAGTGGAAAGTGCTCGCAATTCAATTTCTTCCATGACCATGGCTGTGCTGTGAATTTTTTTATAGTGTGATTTATGGTAGGAGAAGTAAGTGATCTCTAAACAGAATTTAGAAAGTTTACTGATTTCTGTCAGACAGTGTTTAATTAAGGTTGATATCTTTATTAAACAGCATATTAACCACTTGTATAACAAGATATATATATATATACAATGCCGCATGATCAAATGACATTAACATCCTAGTATCTTTTTGCATTCAGTATGCATAACTGTTACTGAAAAACCATTACATAGATTTGATAAGATAATGGATCAATTACATCATATTGATAATTATCAATACCAAACTTGTATAATTTGGGGAAACCTAAGAACAGAGCATGTAAGCCTAACTACCAGGTTTTAAATTATCATATTACATTGAACAAAAAAAGCTTCTTTTTTTTTCCATGTTTTAGTAATAGATTCAACTTAGTTGTTTTTTTAAGACTTGTAATGTAGGTAAAATATTAAGTGACCATTATTTTGCTTTAATGTGTTTGTATAAATCTGAATGTTCTAAAGAACACTATCACTGTGCAGTACATTGTTGTCCAATGAAGGTTCCGGTAAGAGGGCTGAAAGCTTGTAAATGAAAGTATTCAAATGTAGAGCAAGTCCCTGTATAATTCTACAAATTGAACTTAGCATTTAATTGTTTTTCACCATAACCTGTGGGTAAAGTTTAATATTTTCAATAAGTACTTGTATTTGTTGATAGTGTTTTAATTTTCTCATACTATTTTTCACAACAACATTTCATCTATCAGATCATGACTATTAATTTTTGACATTCACTAAGCACTGGATATATATATGGCCAGACATTGTTTTCACCTGCTTTGGCCTTGACCCAAACCTGTATGATCTGTCTTCTTGCATTTTCAATGGTTTTGCAATTTTCATTCAGTAATCAGTTCTTAATGGAAGTTGTCATTTTGTTAATTGTGAGTTTTTAGTGCAGTAACAAAATACAGTCCTTTTTGAAGAAAATCAGTTTGGTTTTCACTCAGTTTTATAGATGAGAGGTTGATTATCCAATTTTTTCTGTTATCTGTGTTATTCTCATGCATTTGAGGTGTTAGTTTTCCATATTTTTGTCTAATTTTGGTAGAAGAAGTAATATTCTGCCTCTATACTTAGGCAAAACCTTGTGATGGATTGAGGTCAGATTTACTAAACACAAACATGACCATAAAAATTAAATATTTCAGGTTTACAGTAGCAGAACATCATTAATCACTGACTGATCATCAAACTGATTGGTGAAATTCAGTTATACTAGCATTTTTTAAGTTTTATAAAATCTTCGAGCAGTCAGATTTACGCAAGTACATTAAAGCAAAGTAATGGTCATTTAATATTCTGTACATCTATAAATATTTATTATTCATCAAATAATAAATGCTTTTGTGATTTAGTAGTGTCTTTGCATCTGCTTAACCCTCTCACTATGGAAATTTTTTTCTGCATATGTCATGAGATTTTAATGAATTACCATTACATTCAAAATTTGATTAAAGTACTTTATTTTCATGATATACAAATAAACTTGGCATCAAAAGTTAGCTAATACTCCAAATCTTCATATTGTACAAGTTTTAAGTTCTTAATTATATAAGGCAATATTTAAAAAATTGCCAATTTTCCCTAATATGAGAATTGTGACATTTCTTCTCTAGGTATCCCCTCTTCTCTAATTTATTTACCACACCTCCAAAAAGTATGAAATCTAATGTAAATTACTCATTATACTGTTGTTATCACTCAGGCAAAACATAATTTTTATAGCATTCAATCTTATTTGATTACAGAGCCATAAACTAGAAAATAAGACCCCTTTTGACACATCCACCTGTCATATCCCCTGTTTCACAAGTTGCCAGGAGTTCTCTCTGATGTTTAATACCCCTTTTGTTTATAAGCAATAGATAGCCAAAGTTTTAATCTCTCAAATGATGTGTTATATTATGTTGTTTTCTGTACAGAGAATTATCTACTTCACTTCCAGTTCAAACTTTAATCCCACATCGACAAGCATAGCTGAATTTGTAATGGCTCTTGTTGCAGAGTTAGAAAGCCAGGAATATTGTGATAGTTATGGGACATTTTCCTCTTTTTGCATGTTATTATTTTATGTTCTTTAGTGCATTATTTAATTAAATGAAAAATTATTTAGTGCAGTAGTACCATTAGTATAAATAAGTAGGGTTAAGTTTCATTGACAGTTGACAGGAAAGAAAAAAAAGAAGACCAAAGTAAGTGTCATATTTCTTGTTTTTCACATGTATTCTTTATTTATTTATTATTTTAAAAGAACCAAAATGTAAAAATGAGATACTTTTTAGGTTAGATAAGGTAAATAATAATAATAACAATAACTTTTCATGAGGTGCACTCGTGAGTGGCCCATGCATTATGTAATTCAATAAGGTAACATGAGCTTCACGTTCGTCAAGTGATTTACAACTTGTTTGCCAGGAATATTAGTAAGACAGTTCAAAGAAGAATAAAACAATAAACATTAAGTGTAAACAGATGTATATTATGAGTTCAAAGCTACTTAGGATAAACAAATGTAGTTTCATGTTACAATTTGAAATCATTGTAGAAAGAAAAAGGATAATTTAGATTTATTTCAAAATTTTCTTTTGATGATTACAAGGTCAGTCAAATTGACCAATCTTGTAGATAAGATATAAAGTTTTACTGAATAAAGTTTAGAGATCACTCAAATAGAATTTGAGATTTTTCAGAAGAAAAAATGTATTCTTTAATCTTAACGTGAAAATCACTTTGCACTTGGAGCAGGCAACACTTTGACTCTATATATTCATGGAGAAATTTTTAGTAAAAATATTTCATTACAAATTCTGATGTTTGTTATGCAGTTTTTACTAAATAGATTTTAATGACTAAGTATTTAGAAATGTTTTAGGAAGCAGTCTGACAATGTTCAGTGCATTAAGAAACTGAAATGCTATTTTTTTTTTGCTTTAACTATTTGTTGAGGAAGTATAGCCAAATGCTGTATTCATTCTGTTAATGGCCCGGCATGG